AGACGACAAAGAAGAAAAACCAAAAGGTAAATTAGAGAAAAATAAAAGAAGATGGGAAAATGATTATAAACTCATGTTTGTCTTAATTCAGTTGGTTTGTAAGTTCAAAAATTTATTTACTATTGCATTTTGGATCTTTAATCTTGGATCGTGTTTACTCTTTTGGATTTGCTTTATTTTTCCAGGTGTTCTTACGATTTGTTGTAGACTATTTGCTCTGTTTTAAAGTTTCTTACATATTATGTAATTTTTCCTGTAAAGTTTATGCATTATTCTCACCAAATTAAACATTTACTAGCGAATAAGCTTCTAACTATACATTTATCTATATGATTGCGAAGAGTGTTGAAAATCTCTTGATTAGAAACTCTATGATCATGATCATGATCAGAGAGTTTTTTTTTTTTTGACAACAGATCAGAGAGCTTTTTGACGATGAATTTTATGCCATTAAAAAAGTATTCCTTAATGATTTTAATATCACATAATCAATTCGATAAGGTTTTGAAACCCCGCGGTCCGCGCAAGGCGCGGACAAACTACCTAGTATAATAAGAAAAGATCTCCATTTATGAAATCAGGAAAATGAAATAAATATGATCTTTTTACTATTTTTGTGAATCTATTATTCTTTTTTAGAGTTTGGTATGCGTTAAAGTTAGGGTTTAGGGTTTGGATTTAACATTTGAAATTCAGGGTTTAACAAATTTCGATTTAGGATATTAAGTAGACGAAGACTTGTAAAAAGTGTCAATTTCACATATGGATTATCAAAAAGTGTTAGAATATGCAAAAGAAAGATAATGGAAAAACAATTGTTGAAACTTGCATGAAAAGATGCGTCTTAGATTCCAGAATAGCAAATGAGATGAAAGTGAACCAATAAGAAAATAAATTAAAAACTCAGTAGCAAACAATTAAACTTGCGCCAGAGACAGCTCTTAGTTTTATCGAATAACATGAATCACAATTTTATAAAATTATATGCCATATTGATATTAACTATCAGAACTCAACCAATACACTTGACGAAAAGATACACATGATGACACAGTTATTGGTTAACAAACAAAAAGCTTGGTTTTACAGTAAAGTCTTGTGCACTTTACATGCTTTAATTTAACATTTTTTTCTTATTTATAGTCCCTGGAGTTGGGACAAAACTTAAATATCGGTGTTGTGGTTTCTTCTTTATAAATGAATTCTAAAATGATAGAGACTCCGGTTTTGACTCCATTAGCCTCACAAAAACCCTTCCAATCAATTCCTAGAGCCACAAATCCATCTCTTGAGAATAGATATCCTGTGCACTTCATACCTTCTTTACCCAACAGAATCATCTTCCCAAGCTTGTTGATGCCATTAGCTCTCAAGAATTCACTTGGAAGATGCTGCAAAAGATTTGAACAAACACCGCTGGTTATTGATTATAATTTAAGATAGAAAGTAACCCACAAGAGTTATTTATTAAACTTACCAATTTACAGGCTTTGACATCTTCAGGTACAAGTGCTAATGTCCACTAATCGGTTTTGGATTAGTGAAAGTGAATTGCTCGTCTCATCTATGTTGAACTCGTCTGTTTCCTTGGCTTTTGAAGATTCTCCTTTGTGTTTTATATCACCATCTGTGTAGAACAGTTTGAGCATCGGAAGTTCGTTTTCCCATACTAATTCCAGGGTGAATAATCTACCCGGCTCTAATCCATTTGCTTTCGCAAAGTTTTTCCACCCCTTTCCCAAACACAATGATTTTCCTAAGGCTTCTCCTCTAACATTAACTAACCACTTTGTACCATTTTTTCCTATCATAGATATTGGCCCAAGTTTGGTAATACCATGTTTCCTCATAAACGACATTGCAAGGTACTGAAAATTTGTTAAACAGATAGCATAATTAATAATAGTATAAAAAATAAAACTTAGTAACCCTATGGGAGAATAGTTTATTTTTAAAAATCACCTGTCTACCACTTATGAGGCTGTTAGGTGCAACTCGCAATGTCATAAATTGATTTTGGCTTGACGGAAGACACTGCAAAAAAGTGTTCAGACATTTTTAGCATTTCCTCATGACACCAAGCTGTAGACCACTTTTTTAAGTGAGATATCTCCTGACTCATGAGTAACAAAAACTCAACAATAGTATAGCAAAAATGTAATTATAAGAACAGTTAGTTCTTAATGCTTGAAATAAGTAAAGGTTAATATGTAGTTAAGACCAGCCATAAAACCAATCTAAATGATCAAACCAGACCAAACATAATCGATATGAAATTTGGTGTTGCTTCATTATACATACCAAAGTAAACCAAACTAAAGTTAAGTTTTTTTTTAGTAAAATAATATAGATACAATTAGCTAAGATGTTTTATCAAATCGAACTAAAACCATATTGATGTTAACTTTTGAATTTTGTTTCGACAATGAAGAAGGGTAGCCAAGTTCAAAGAGCCTAAGTGAAAATTTGGCTCAAGTCTTGAAGAGACTGTCAGTCAAATAGAGGATCTCAAGGAACTGGAGTAAACCAGTTAAGTGAATTAAGGATTCAGGATTAAATTCCGTACGGTTCGTCGGTGCACTAGCAAAAGAAGGTGTCATCTTTGATTGGTTACACGAGCTCACGTGAGAGGCATTGGCCGTTAGGCCATATAAATCGTCTTGTCTCTTTATTTTGTTAAAGTTCATCTTGATTGAGTTGATTCTATTTTAGCGTTGTGAGGTTGATCAAAGTGAGTGATTAGGTTTCACAAACAAGTTTTCTCCCAAATTGAACAATAGGATATATATACTATAATGCTCAACTTTAAGATTATTTCTTTATGGTATAGATCATATTCTGGTTCAGTCGTTTTAATGATCCCATTGAAATATTTTTGACCTCTATAAATCTAAACCAAACCTTAATCTCCGTTACACCAATTAATAATATCTATTTGAATATCTTACCCTAACCCAAATTCAAATTAGTAATCTAGACCACAAAAAATAGGCTCATAAAAAACAGTATATCCTTTGATATAAGAAAAATGTTGTAACAAGTATATACAATATGTATTTTGTAGTATTGCTTTTGTATTTTTGTGTGTTTTATATGTTGAGTATTGACCTCTATAAAAAATTGACCTAGTTCCGCCTCTGCTGAGACATCAAACCCCAATATGCAATATATTGTTAGCATGTTTTAGATTAGTATGTGATCTCCTTTAAAATAAATAAAGTATACGCACCGGGACATCTTTTTGTAGATTGGAAGCCGTTTCAAGGGCCACAGAACAAGAGTGGTCTGATGAACAAGGATCAGATTCTGTGACTGAATTGTTGACTTTAGCTTTTTTGTTTCTAGCAATTTCTGTATCAGTTAAAAACCAAATATTAAAATAAATTCTGTATTAAAATGTAACTTGTGTTAAACATAGACAAAGAGTGCATATATCGACACACAAGACTAGTTTAAGGCATATTTACATATTCAAGAGACCATAAAATCCTTCTTCAACAGTTAGTTAACTTTAAGAATAATTTAGGGCATATTTACAAATTAAGGAGATACAAAATCTTTATTCTAGAGTCAGAAAAGATTGAAACTTTCCACAAAATAATGAAAATCTTAGATTACTATTAAGAAATAAAGTGATTTCCAGTCATAGTTTTTGTCATAAAAAAGAGAAATTATACTTCCAGATCACAGAAATTTAAAAACAAAAACAAGATAGAACCAAACTTACCAATCTTTTCTCGGTCATTGTCGCTGCTTGAAGCTGGGATGTCTTGAATCTGGCAGCAACTGAGTCCTAAACCTGACATATCTTAAATCGCTAGTATCTTTTCTCTATGCATTTCTTGTGGATGTTTAAGCGAATAAATCTCTGTAAACAAAAGGGTGAAGAAAAAACCCTAGAAATATCTCTCAAGAAGCTGTTCGCAGAGAAAGAAAGACAAAACTGAAAATGGACAGATTTAAACCAAAGAAAAGAAGATGAAAGCCATAGAAAACTCCTAGAAGAGAAAATTATTGTCATTTATTAGAGAGCATGCATTTTGGGAACATAATCTCAGCCTGTATGCCTGGACCAATGAAAAGTTAAATTTGAAGGATAATATTGACTGGGTAGATTACACTTATCATAAAAGCTAAATAATTTAATACAAGATTACTAATAAAAAAATTTTTTAAAATATGTTAAAGTATTTTGTACATTAAAAAATTAAAAACCCAGATTTTATTGTTAATTAATGTCATTTTTATTAACACATAAAAGATTTGCAAGGTTTTTTTTTTGACAGCTTCAGGTTTTTTTTTCATTTCTTATTTTTAAAGGAATTTATTAATTATGTTTTAATAAAAAGCTATTTGCATATATAACTTTGTTGATCAAAGATAAGATGCATATATAACTTAACATATACCTTCATGAATTATTATTTTTAAAAGATTTGTAAGTTTTTTTTATTTTTTCTACAGCTGTGTTTCTTTCTTATTTTCAAAGGATTTTTCTTAATTATGTTTTTATGGAAATATTAGGGGCATTTGCCTATATAACTTTTCTGACCAAGATAATATGGATGTATTACTTAATATATACGTTCATGCATTTTTTTAAAAAAAAAAAATTGCAAGTTTTATTTATATATCTTTTTCACAGCTGTATTTATTTCTTATTTTTAAAGGATTTTATTATTTATGTTTTTATAAACAAATTAGGGGCATTTGCATATATAACTTTTTTTACCAAGATAATATGCATATATAACTTAACCAATAACTTCATGCATTATTATTTTTAACTGACAAAAATAACTTTGAATTGACATAAATATTTTCAGGGTTAGCCTATAAATTACTTTCGTTGATTAATATTCATCATATATAGATTCATAGTTATATATTTACAACAAAAACTTGTTTTATAAATTAAATCGCTTTGCTCAAGCCATTTGAACTCTTGTCTTGGCTATAACATGCTACCAATTAGTTAGCCAATGTCTTATGACTTTTTCAAGTTTCAAAAAACACTAAATCATAAAACACTTTACCGTCAACCCTAAATACTAAACACCATGAATGAGAAACCCAAACATAATAATATCGTAATTTAATTTAATTAAAGAGATGATAATATTGTAAACACTAGAGACCTAAATCCGATCCTAGTAATTCTCAAAAACACTTGGAGTTCCTCCTCTCATATGTCAAAGACAAGGATCCCACATTTGTGTCGTTTTTGGCTTCTTAAGCAAACACCACAGCAGCCACAACATCAGCAGTCGCAACATCAACAGCCGCACCAGCCAATGCAACAGCCCCTGCACCAGCCACTGCACCAACCAATGCACCAGCCTCTGCACCAAACTTTTAACTCTTAACTCTATGAACTAAACTCTAAATTCTATGTTCTTTTTCTTATGTCTTTTTTTTTTCGACTAAGCAATCTATGTAACATATTTTGGGATTTTTTGTTGACTAATATATCAAGTTTTTAGTTCATATTCATATTAATATTTAATTTTAGGCTTTTAATAATTAAATTTAGATTTAATTACGGTTTTAGAGAAATAACCATAATAAAATTAGTTGGTGACAAGCGACGCATTTGCGACCAAAAGGTATAACAATTGTCCTAAATTAATCGCAAACTTGGAACCAATTTGCGACTCATTGAGAATTCAGTCACAAAGATTTAGTCATTAAATAGTCCCAAATCAACGACTACATAAGTGTTGCAATTATACGACGTTGGGAAAGAGTCAAACATTAGTCGCTAAATATTATGTCACAATTTAGTCATTAATAAAAAACTAATGTTGTTAGTGTCCATTTTGTAGTTACAATATGGTCCTTAATAAACAACTAATATGTGTCGTGACACTTTTGTCGCTACTATACGACTATATTTCTATGTCATAAGTTAGTTGATAATTTGCGTCTAATTTGCAACTGTTTAATTTTGCGATGAAATATTAACGACTATTTTAAATAGTCTTTATAGAGTTGTAAATAGGGTATTAGCGACCATTTAAGAACGATTTTAGTGGTTGCAAAGAGTGTATTTTCTTGTAGTGTTTGACCTTTCTATATATACGCCGAATACATCGTGTTGAATACTTATAACCGCGTGGAAGCATTTGTATTGAACTCACACTCCCAATTTGCTTAAGAGTTTAATTCATTTGCTTATTTTTTTTATAAAAAAAATCTTATTTGCAATGAAAGGTAAGCTTTTCTTTGGCCAATATTTGATATGGGTAATATTACTGTTGGTGGATGCAAAAGCTGCACTGAAAAAGAAAGGAAAGCTTTGTTGGATCTCAAGAAATATCTTACGTCAAAGAGTCAAGATTCAGACTATGTTCTCCCTACTTGGAATAATGACACACAGAGCGATTGTTGCCGGTGGGAGGGGCGGAGGGCACTATGTGCAATCATACAAGTGGGCGGGCGTTCCCTTGGTTTCATGACCTTAAAAGAGAATTCTCTCCTAAATCTTTCTTTACTGCATCCCTTTGAAGAGGTTCGAAGTCTAGACTTCTCATCAGGCTTCAAATGGCTTCGTTGATAATGTTGAAGGTATATATACCAGGTTTTTGCACAGTCTAGTCTACTGTTGTGGTCTCTATCTGGAAACAAAAATTTCTAATTATTTGAAAATACATTAATTAGATTTTCCCCTGCATCAAAAGGTTGTAGTACCTTCATCTGCATAATTAGTTATCTGTGGCTGATGCCTAGCACAAAATTACATCTGACCAGTGCCGTGCTTAGGTTAATAGAGACATTAACCAAATTTTAAAAATGTGACCTTTATTATAAAATAACACTTAAAAAAAAATACAACTTTGAATTAAAACATACAAAAAAAATAATAATAATAAAGAATAAATAATATAGAAATTCTAAACTAAAATTATTCTTATTTTTCCTACAAAAACATCAAATTCACATATTCAAAATTTCTAATCAATTCTCCGTATTGATATGATAACCAAATTGTTTAATTTCTCTTATAACAATAAAAAAATTTAAGATTATTAATTTTTCAAACAAATAAGCTAAACACATGTATTAAATTATATATGTAAGCTTACTTTTGGAATACATGTGATCTTATAATTTTGTTAACTTTGATGTGCCCTTAGGCCATTGCCTAATTTTTAATAACTAAGGCACGGCTCTCTGCATCTGACGATCAATCTCGTTTTCTTTTAAGTTCCATACAGTTTTAACTATCTTAATTCCATTTTTCTAAAAGTTATAACTGAAATTATTGAAGAGAATAGGGTGGGATACTTATTTTTTGTATGCTCTGTTAACAAGATTTTTGTTTGCAGGTTATAAAAGCTTAAGGAAACTAAGAAAGCTGGAGATTCTGAATCTTTCATATAATAGTTTAAACAGCAGCATAATTCCCTTTCTAAATGCTGCTACATCGCTTACAACTCTTTCTCTCCAGTATAGCTTCATGGTAAGTGGTACTTTTCCTTTTGAAGGTGTGTATTTTTTCATTTGTATCTTACTTTAATTGAAGCATGTTTGGTTAGGTTATTTGATTTATATGTAATAATTGCTACAATTTGCTCTCTCTTTCTTTTCGTTCCAATCATTATTATATTTCTCTTGGACTATCTTTCTGAAATAAAAGACTTGACAAACTTGAATCTGCTTGATCTTGCTGGAAATGGACTAAACGGCTCCATGCTAGGTAGCATCTACGCCAACCGCCACTGTCCATAAACATATTAAACTTCGTACATAATCCTTGAATTGGTTATCCGCTTATGCCATTTCAATATTAAATTAGAGGTGTCTTGCTTTGTGTCTCTTTGTCTTGGGGGCAGGGTTGACTAATCTGAGAAAGCTGAAAGCTCTGGATCTAAGTGACAATGGGTTTTCTAGCATAATGGAATTGCAAGGCAAGCTTGCTTTTTCTCTTTCTTTTATGCATATGGAGATGAGCAGCATAACATTTTATGATAAGAAGTTTTGAGACGAATAATATTATTCTCAATATCTTCTTGTTTTCGAAACTGTCTTTTTTCAGTAGTTTGTGAAATGAAGAACTTGCAGGAGCTTGACGTCAGTGGAAATCGTTTCGTAGGCCATATTCCTCTTTGTTTAGGTAGCTTGAACAAGCTAAAGGTTCTTGATTTCTCATCCAACCAATTAAGTGGAAACCTACCATCTAATTTCAACAATCTTGAGTCCCTCGAATATCTATCATTGTTGGATAACAATTTCACAGGCTTATTCTCGCTCGATCCACTCGCCAACCTCACAAAGCTTAAGGTGTTCAAACTTTCATCAACATCTGATATGGTACAAGTCAAGACAAAGAGTAATTGGCAGCCAAAATTTCAACTGAGTGTTGTTGTACTAGGAGATTGCAGCTTGGAGGAAATCCCCTTCCTTTCTCCTGTACCAGAAGAACTTGCGCGTCTAGTTGATCTACCCAACAAAAGATTATCTGCAGACATTCCTAGTTGGCTGTTGGTGAATAATTCAGAACTTGAAGTCTTACATTTGCAGAATAATGCATTCACTACCTTCCAGATGCCTACAATAGTGCATAATTTGCAGTTCTTGGATTTTATTGGGCCATATTAGGCCTTCTTAATATTGTATCATTAGTGTTAGCTTAACCTAAGATGATATCGTGTATATAAGGCAATGCCTTAACATTGAGTTGAATAAAAAAACCCTTTTACACTACTAAGGTTTCTTGACATGGTATCAGAGACACAAACCTAAAAACTAGGTTTTTGGTTATCGATCTTTTCTATTACTCTTTCGAAACTTCATTTACGATGGGAGATGATACTGGATCCATAATCTCCTCAAGATTCCGATCTCGTATTGAGACTTCACGAAGAACGATATCTGCGTATGACCTAACCACAAGTGATAATCCGGGAACCATTATCTCAAGACCTCTTTTGCGTGGACCTAACTACGACGAATGGTCCGCGAGTCTTCGTCTGGCTTTGCGGGCGAGAAAGAAGTTTGGCTTTGCTGATGGCTCCATTCCAAAACCCGACGATGATGATGAAGACTATGAAGACTGGTGCGCAAACAACGCTTTGGTGATCTCATGGATTAAACTCACTATTGATGAATCTCTGTGCTCCTCTCTCTGACACTGCGAGGATGCTGCTAGCCTTTGGACTCAACTCCAAAAACGGTTTGCCGTGAAAAACGGACAACGAGTACAAAGACTCAAAACAGAGCTGGCGACTTGTAGACAGCAAAGAACGCCGATGGAGACGTATTTTGGAAAGCTTACAAAACTGTGGACCAGTCTGGCTGATTACCAACAAGCTAAGACATTGGAGGACGTACGCCGTGAACGCGAAGAGGATAAATTGCATCAGTTTCTCATGGGAATTGATGACTCATATGCAACAGTGAAATCAAATCTGTTGTCTCGTACACCTTTGCCGTCTTTGGATGAGGCATACAATATCCTTGTTCAAGATGAGGAATCAAGGTCACTTGCTCGTTTACATCAAGAGCGTGTCGGCGAGGTGAGCTTTGCAGTTCAGACTCAGAACAAACCTCGTCAAGATGCTCCAGCTGGGACAACCGTATGCACTCTCTGCGGCCGGAATGGACACTTAGCTGAAAACTGTTTCAAGAAAATTGGGTATCCACCGTGGTGGGGAGAATGTGCTCGCAACAAACAGAACTCGAATGTCCAAAATTCGATTCAAAGCACTTCTTCGGGAACCTAGTCTGCACCATCACGCGGAAAACCTTCCAATACAGCTCAAGCTAATCATGTTTCCTCGTCTAACTCGGTCATTACCTCAGCAGATCGTGTAGGTTTCAGTGGTCTGAACGATCAGCAATGGCAAACATTGGTTCAGATGCTCAATGCACGTAAATCACCAGCTCCAGGACCTCCTACTGGTACGTTTTTCATTGAGTCTTGGATTATTGATACAGGGGCCACGAACCATATGACGGGAAGCATTGACTTTCTAACTGATGTCTGTGATATGTCGCCAATGCTTATTAAACTGCCTGATGGTAGATTTACGACTTCGAATAAGCATGGGAAAGCTTATATGGGTTCTTCTCTTAGTCTGCAAAATGTGTTCTTTGTTGATGGACTGCATTGCCATCTAATTTCTGTATCTCAGCTGACTCGGGATAAGGGATGCATTTTTCAGATATCTGATCGGATTTGTGTGGTTCAGGATCGCATCACTCGGACGCTGATTGGAGCGGGTGAACAAGTGAATGGTCTCTATTTTTTTCGAGGAATGGATGTTGCGGCGGCAATTCAGCGAACTGGAGCTCCCTCATTGGAACTTTGGCACAGTCGATTGGGGCATCCTTCTTTGAAAGCTTTAGAGATGCTACAATTATCTGATTTAAGTAGTAGTGGGAAATGTCGCTCTAAAAAGTGAAATCTCCTCTCTCATTGACGATTCTGCAGGCGATAAAGAGAAAACCGTTTTTTGCCACAATCTCCGGCCGACGTCGGCTCCGGCGTCGGCTGTACTTTTGTTTCTCTTGTTATAGGTTATTAGGATTTCTCTTTCCATATGTCGATTACCAAGGAGATCTCTGTGGTGATTCATCTTCAATGTCTCTGGTTCTTTCTCTCTATTGGAGAGTGCTTCTCCAACCATAATCCGGCGATTCTGTGTCAATTATGTGTCGGTTGCTGTCTGTTAAGGATTTTCCCATACAGTTTATGTCCGTTCATCTGTGTAACGGTTCAAATATGGGATCCAGACATATCTACTCTTGAGTCATATGTTGAGATTCTGATCAGTATTTGGAAAATTAAACCCAGACTGCTATTAAATCTGATCGACATTGACCTGATCAAACATCGAGTCTCAATACCAACGGCAGATCTGAAGTCCATAGTTGACTCAATAGATATGACATCACAATCCATTTCACAAACTACATGGAGCCTGATGGATATAGCGGTAGATCTTGCAATTGCAGATGTACAAAAATGGATTTTGGCTAATAGAAACAATAAAAAACACCATCCTTCTATGGTCCCTATCAGAAACTCTCGAGTTTCATCATGGATTCGGCCTAGTGTGGAAACACTTCAATGCAATTACGGTGCAGCTTATTATCTGAATTTAAGGAGAGCTATTGGAGGATGGATTCTTTGTGACCACTTAGGTTACGCTAAAAGTTGGGGAACAGTTCATCTTGGTCGTCTATTATCAAGCCTCGAGACAAAGGGTAAGGCGTTGTTATCAACCATGCAAAACTCTTGGAGCAGAGAATATACTAATATTCAATTTGAAGGTGATTGTCTGGACATTTTACATGATGTGAAAAAAGATTTCCAAATGTATAATTTACAAATAAACTTCTTGCATGTCAAGAGAAATGCAAACACTGTTGCTCATAAATTAGTACAATAATGTCTGTTATTCTGATTGTATTTATTGGCCATTTTGGCTAATCGAAACTTTGTATTCTGATTTTATTATGTCAAATTAATAAATACATTTTCGTAGAAAAAAAAAAGTAGTAGTGGTGTTTTTGATTTTAAAACATGTGACGTATGTATCCGAGCTAAGCAAACTCGAGATTCTTTTCCTTTAAGTTGCAATAAAACGTCAATGGTTTTTGAGTTGATTCACTGCGATCTCTGGGGTCCGTATAGAACTACTTCTATTTGTGGTTCAAAGTACTTCCTCACCATTTTAGATGACTATTCACGAGGTTTATGGATTTATCTTCTTCCCTCTAAACAAGACGCACCAATCCATCTTCAAAACTTTGTTGCTCTTGTCGAAAGATAGTTTGAGAAGAAGGTAAAGACAATCCACAGCGATAATGGAACAGAATTCACCTGCTTAGACGATTTTTTTCGCACAAAGGGAATCATTCATGAGACCTCTTGCGTTGGAACACCACAGCAGAACGGCCGCGTCGAACGAAAGCACAGACATATCCTGAATGTAGCTCGGGCTCTCCGGTTTCATGCCCATCTTCCAGTTGAGTTTTGGAGCTACTGCGCCCTTACAGCTGGTTATTTGATCAACCGAACCCCATCTGCACTTCTAAACGGTAAAACTCCGTATGAATTACTATACAACAAACCGCCTCCGTTGAATCACATCAGAGTTTTTGGTTGCCTCTGCTACACGCATAATCAGAAACATGGTGGCGATAAGTTTGCTAGTCGATCACAGAAATCTGTTTTTCTAGGGTATCCTTTTGGTAAGAAGGGGTGGCGTGTGTACAATTTGGAGACTCAGAAAATCTCTGTATCTCGAGACGTTATTTTCTGCGAAACAGAGTTCCCATTTGAGTTCATTTCCTCGCCATCAACCTCAGGTCTCGAGCTTGTTGAACTTCCTCCAGCGTCTTCACCAATTGACAGTGATGAACCTCAGCCTCTGCGTATCTCGTCGTCCACCTCGATTCGATGGGATAGCGAGCCTGTGGCAGAGAAGAATTGCTCTCTCCCTGATCTTGTGGTCGATGACAGCACTTTACCCGACATTGCCTCATCATCACTTCTAGATGAGCAGTCTTCTTCTTCACCCGACGCGATTCAGTCCTCTGAAGATGAGTGCTCTGATCTGGTTCCTGCAGTTTCGTCTTCTGACACTTCGTTACAGCCTGCAATTTTGGCATACTCCGAGCGCGATGATGCACCTGAAGAACTTGGACGTGGGTTTCGTATAAAACGTCCTCCTCGAAAACTTGAGGATTATGTGTGTTTTCTTCTTCACGAACCACAACTCTCAAAAACTCCATATCCCATTGCAAGTTTTCTGTCGAGTGAGCGTTTTTCTGATTCTTACCAAGCTTACCTTTTTGCCATCACTTCGGCTAAAGAACCTACAAGCTATAAAGAAGCTATTCAGGACGAAAAGTGGCGATTTGCAGTGGAAGATGAAATCACGTCCCTCGATGATTTAGGAACCTGGACAGTTGAAGATCTTCCACCAGGAAAGAAAGCTTTGGGTTGCAAATGGGTCTTTCGCCTCAAGTTCAATTCGGATGGCACACTTGAACGCCACAAGGCACGTTTGGTTGTGCTCGGAAATCATCAGACTGAGGGCATTGATTACAATGAAACCTTCGCTCCTGTTGCCAAGATGGTTACGATTCGTACGTTTCTTCAACAGGCAGCTTCAAATGACTGGGAGGTTCACCAAATAGATGGTCACAACGCATTCCTCCATGGTGATCTTGATGAAGAAGTTTATATGCAATTTCCTCCTGGATTTCGAACTGGAGAAAAAGGCAAGGTATGTCAATTACATAAGTCTTTGTACGGACTTGAACAGGCTCCTCGGTGCTGGTACGTAAAGCTTGCCACTTCGTTAACAGAGTATGGTTTTACTCAGAACGGTTCTGATCATTCTTTGTTTCAATTTGCACAAAACGGTGATCGTATTCATGTTCTCGTGTACGTTGACGATTTGATTATCACTGCAAGTTCTTTGGTGCTTATTCAACGCTTCAAGTACTACCTGAGCAATTGTTTTAAGATGAAAGATTTGGGTCTTGCGCGTTACTTCTTGGGTATTGAACTGGCTCGAAGTCCGAAAGGTATTTATCTCTGCCAGCGGAAATATGCTCTCGACATCATCTCCGATAATGGTCTT